CAGTGGCTCCCCTCTGCTCCCCCAGGCAGTTCCTGCACCTCACCCGCTCCCACTTCAATGCGGTGCTGCTGGACAAGGCAGGCACCGACCGTGAGCGCTACATCTCTCCTGTCAGCCCCGACGAGCTCTTCATCTTCATCGACACCTACCTGCTGAGTGAGCAGGAGGCAGCGCGGCGGGCGCAGAGTGGGGACCCCTGCGAGTGAGGCAGCGCCGGGGAGACCCCCCCCTGGCCACTGCTCCTCTCGGGACGGACACCTTCCTTTCTGCTTTTCTAGTCGCCCACCGTAGAGGAGGACCAGGGTGCTGAGGGGAAGGGGAGCCCCTCTCCAGCTGCTCTGGCACAGAGAGGCGAGCAGAGATGCAGGACATGTGCCAGCACTGTCCCCACTGCCCAGCAGCCAGGAGCAACCTCTGGCTGCGGGGTGGGATGGCTGAGCCTGGCCAGGACCATGGTGGTAGACACCGGAGTGCCTCTGATCAAACCCCAGAGCAGGGCGGAGACAGGGAGCCAGACAGTGGGCTGCAAGAGCAGAGGAGAGGGGGCCAGGCAGGCAGGGCAACAGCACGACAGCCTCTAATACAGTAGCTTCACCCTCCCCATAGCCATCCTCACCCCATGCACAACCTGAACCCCCTCCCTCCCACCCTGGGGTCAGCCCTGCCGGGCAGGTGCCACTGCCAGGGTCCTGCCAGAAAACATTTATTAAAAGCAAACAGCCCCCCACTCAGCAAAGCCAGTAGCAGCCAGCCTGCACGTGGTCCACCCTGAGGGCTCACCATCTCCACCCTACCCCTCGCTTCCCCTTCCACCAGCCACGGGGCACCCTTCCTGGGAACTGTTTTGGCAGTAGAATATTAACTTGAAATAAATAAATTTGTATACAAAGTCAGTGCTGGCAGAAGGTGTGTGGCAGAGAGGCCTAGGAAATGAATCTTTCCTGGGGACCACTACCCCCAGCACCCCCAAAGTGACCCCATGTGGCTCCATTCTGGCCCCAGAGCCGGGGCTGGGCTGTGCATGGCTGCCCCAGACCTGGAGCCAGCAAAGCTTCTGCATGAGGAGGGTGGAGAAGACAAGGAGGGCACAGACTGTGAAACAAAGGAGAGGGGAATAAGAAGAATGGAAAGAAGAAAAAACCCAACCACATTTCAAAGCATTTTGCCTGCAGGGGAAGAAGGGAGGATCCACAAGGACTCCAGTTTGGCCTGAAATTTGGTGCAAAGCTTAAAACAAAAGAAAAACCCTGTAAATGAAGCTAGGCCAAGAAGACTTTCCGCCCAAGCCTGTTTAGAGAAGGTCATGTTTATTAAAGTATAAGAAAAAAAACGAAACAAAAAAACCAACCCACATTTGACAGCCCTGCCAGGCCATGCAGCATGCATGGCTCCCAAGCAGCAGTGCCTGCCCTCAGCCAAGTCCCAGTGCTGGTGCAGCAGCCTATGGCCTCAGCTTGGCCATGGTGGAGCGGAGCTGAAGCGTCCCCTCTGCCCACGAGCCTGGGTACTGGCGCATCTTCTGCCACAGGTTCAGCTCCTCACCTGTGGAGTCCATCCAGTCCACAGCCTGCCCATTGCTCATGCCTGGGAGAAAGGATAGACGTGGGCAGAAGTCACTGCTGGAGCAGCCTCCTGCCCACAGGAAGGCAGCCCCAAGCAAGGCTGCTTGTCCCCAGGGTTTGATGGGACCCCAGGGCTCCTCACCATTGCCCACCCCGAGACGGACACCCCCAAGGAAGTCGTTGCTGGATAGTGGCTCCCGGTCCCAGACTGTCAGCTCCAGGCAGATGTGCTGCAGGTCCTCAGGGTTGATGCCGTTGTAGACAAAGGTGTGGTTGTAATGAGGGTTCAGGGTCTTCTTCACCACAGGCGTTTTCCTCTTGGAGGCTTTGTTTTTGTGTGGCAGGAGGTAGCTGGTGAAAGCAACCCCTTGGGTTAGCAGCACGTGTGCAACTGCCCTCTGCCCCAGGGGCTGGGGCTCCTCAGCAACCCAGGACCTGGCCTGGAGCCCACCTCCCACAATATGGCTTGGGAAGAAGGACCATGATGGTCTGCAAGGGGCTGGGTCTCTGCCCTGCCTCCTGAAAATCCACTCAGCAGACTGCAAGTGGTCTAAAGGAGGGGAGAGAGCAAGGCCTGGAGCCTGCTCATCCCCAGCCATGCTGGTGAGCTCTGGGAAGATAATTTGATGGCAGCTGGAGCCCTGCCCTACACATAGCCTCCCACTGCAACCTCTCAACCAGCCAAAACCCAGGAGAGCATTTGCTAGGAGGAACATCTTGTCTCTGGGCAGATGCTGACTCTCAAGGTACACAGGCAGCGTGAGGCAGCTAGCAGAGAGACCCTGCCCTCCCCCAGGTCCCTGCGGCAGCTCTGGGAACTGCCCAGGAGTGCAGCCAGGATGGACAGTGCCTTTGTAATCCCCCCAACTCGGGACCCACACTCACCCCTTGACAAAGCTGTCTGAGGTACCCCCAGATTTGGCAGCCGTGAGGTTCTTGGCTTCTTTGATCCAGACCTGGAGCTCACCACCTTCCCCTGTTTTGCCTGAGAAAAAAAACAACACAGCAAGAATTAATAAACCTTAATTTCCATGACCGCAACCTTCTGGAAAGGTCCTGTTGAACAGCCTTCATTGCAGAGGCAGGTACAGATCCCCAGCTAGTATCTCCTCTTGCTTCCTCTCTTACTAGCCCTGCCTGCTGAGGCAAAGGCAGACAATTGCTTCACACAGGGCCTGATGGTCCCACCTGGTCCAGCCCCAGGAAAGCACTGAGACTACTCGTCTGGCCTGAGGACAGTCAGGTATGCCGCGACCCAGAGCAGAGAAGGCGGCTGCAGTGGCATCACCCAAGAAACCCACCCAGACCCAGCTCACCTGGCCACAAGCAGGTCCCTCAGGCTACCCAAAGATCCTGGAGCTCCAGCACTCACCTTTCCGGCCATTCCCAGCCCCAGGGTGCTTGGAAGATGGGATGTACTTCATTGAGACAACCAGCTCCCCCTTGTACTGGTGGAGACCAGCAGCATCCACCCCAATCTGAAAAGAGGCAAGACTTATCAAACACTGCTAGAGAGGCCAAAGCAGACATGGTGATAGCCTGGTCTTGATGCAGCACCTCCCCATGCTGGGACAAAGGGCTTGGCTTCTCCTAGAAGTGGTTTAGCCAGCACAAAGGCCTGCAGACCCTCCCCAGCATCACCAGGTCACACTCAGACCAGCTCCTTTGTGTTCCCTTTGGGATCCTACTTTGGCTCAATCACATCTCTTATGAAACCCTATTTAGGGGTTTCCACAAGCTGCTCGAGCCCCAGCAACACCAAGGGCTGAGCCTGCAGCACAAGTTAGTCTAGAAAACCAGACTTAACTTCAGGAGCAGCATCTGCTGCTGCCATCAAGCTGCCCAAAGGCCCTCACTGCCCATCTCTGCAACCCGCAGCAGGATGTCCCAGCCAATTTCCCCATTTGCTTCTCTGAAGTTGGTTCCAATTCCTCTTGGCTAGGGCAGGGAGCTGGGAAGAGCTGCGCTCTTGGAGCAATCAAGCAAGCAGAATGAAAATACCTGGTGGGACAGAGAACAAGTCCCATGGCATCACATAGGGGACTTACTGAGGAGGAGGAAGGACGCTAGGCCCAAGGCAGAAGATCTGCCCCTTTTTGCTACGACAGTACTGCTCTCTGCCTCTGGGGTCTTCATTTCTCCAAAGATTTGATTTGGCTCAAGCCTTTTAGCAGCTCTCGGCCAAGGTCTCTGCACCCCTCTGCCCACTGAGGGCCAACCCCCCCGGATATGGCCAGGCAAGGGAGACTGCAGACAGCAGGGCTGGGGTGGCAGGGCCAGCACCTTGCCGTGCAGGGGTAGAAACTCCTCCAGGTGGCTCTCGAAGTTCCAGGCATCCAGTGGGACCTCCACCTCCCCCAGGAATGTATTGCGGCCAAAACGATCGTGGTGCCAGACTGAAAACTGCAACGTCCTTGCAAGCAGGAGGGACTTGTTAATCTCATACTAGGAAGAGAGATGGGAAAACCACCAGTGAGCAGGCAGGGGACAGGCTTGGCACACACCGTCAGCCACAGCTCTCAAGCAGGAGAGGAGACAGGTTTGAGAAGCAATGGATGCACGCATGAGGCTGTTTGTCTTCCTTTCCAAGCCTGCTGAAACCTCAGAGTCCTGGGGCAGTGGTGCAGGAGCCCATGCTCTCCAGGCAAGTGGTCCTCAGAGCCTGTACAGAGCCAGAACCAGGACTTATGGCGTCTGGCCAGCCCACCCCATCCCACCACAAGCAAAGCTCTGCCAGCCCACCAAGCCTCAGGTGGTCAGAGTGCGAGACCTCAGCAAACCCAGAGCTGTGGAATCCTGGAAACTAAACCAGTTTCCACTTCCCTCCTGTCCGGAGAGCATCTGGCCTCAGCGAAAGAGCCAGCCAGTCCCACCAGCCCATGGTGGCTGCAGCAGTGACAGTGAAGGCAGCACCAAGTGCTTCTGCCCTGGGGCCCAGAACTGCCTTATCCCTGCCTCTGTAGCCATGCTGCTCTCCCTTCCCCACCACTGTAACCTGCCTGCAATGGCCCAGGAGTCTTCTCCATGGAAAGCAATGGCCAGGGCAGGCAGAAGGCCCCCAGCTCTAGGAGATGCCACAGGAGCCAGGAGCACAGCCTGCGACACACATTCACATCTGCAGCTGTGCTTCCACCCCACCATGGCACCTGGCCACATCAGAGCAGCGACCCAGCCTAGGAGTGGGTTTTTCCAGCTTTCAGGATGCAGTGTCTGGGCGTGGGTCCTCTGCAGAACCCCCATCTCAGGGTTTGGAGCCCATCCCTCCCCTGGTTTGCTCCAGCAGGCTGCACTCCAGCCCATCCCTGCTCACCTTCAGCAGCTCGTTGTACAGGGGGTTGATGGTGTTGCGTTTGATGGTTGTCTTGCGTTTCCCTTGCCGGGATTTGTCAGGCAGGAGGTATGTCTTCACATACCTGGAGGGAGGAGCAGGCAGCCCTTCACCAAGGTCTCCCCACAACTAGCCCCCCCCAAGCCCCCCCAGGGCAACTCCAGACCTCTCCTGCCTCACCAAGACCCCCCACTTACAGCTCCCATCTCTGGTGGGCACCCCACAACCCAGCTGAGCACCACCAGCGGTGCCATCAGCATCGCCCCCCCTGGCTCTCACGGGTTGGAGCGCTTCTTGCTCTCGTCCCCGTAGGCCAGCTGGCGACACTCCTTCACGTGAATGAACAAGGTCTGCGTCTTCTGCTCGTAGCTCAGGGAGAAGGAGATTCCCCCGGTGACCGCGACATTGCCGAAGTCGCCGGCCTCACTGTAAATGCTGACCATGCTCCCCAGCGTGCTCTGGAAGACACAGCAGGGCTGAGCCGGGGCAGCATCACTTGACAGTCCCTCTTCATCCTCAACAAGGCTACTCCCCAGGCCTCCTTCGCACAGCCCCTCTCACCCCTCTGTGGCCGCTGAATGCCTCCCACCCACACACAGGCTCCCTGGAAGAGAGCTGGGTCTCCGTGTTTTGATTCCCTTCCAGGGGAGAAAGCCTCCACAGTCCAGGCTCTTGCCCATGCACCCCAGGAGCTGCCCAGCCTGCCTCCCTCCCACCCAACCTGTCGGTGCTGCCCTCCTCTGTCGTTTCTTCCTGCAGCTGAGCAGGGCACAGCCATGCTGCAGGGACTCACCGAGGAGGTGCCGCTGCGCATGCTGCCCCGGGCCACTCTCTGGCGATGGATCTCCACCAGGTTATCGATGTCCTCCTCCTCCTCCTCCTGCAAGGAGAGAGGCAAGCTGTCTGCATGGGGAACAGCAGGGCACGGACAGCCAGGCGGCTTCCTCCTGCACCTGGCAGCTGGCTCCACGACATGACGAGGGTCTCACCAGCTCCATGTTGAGGCCAGGGACCGACTTGCTCCTGTCCCCCAAAGAGCCACCTTCCCCCACAAAGTCCTCCGGGCGCAGGTCGATCACTGACTTGGTGTAGTCTGCATGAGAGATGGTGAGGCAGGAGGCAGCGGCATGGTGCAGGACTAGCAGAGCCCTGCTGCTCCCTCAAGCGAGGGGCCGCCCCGACCTCTCCCACAGAAGCCCAGCCACCCACCCCCTGCCATGTCAGCACCCAAACCTCCCTGCACCCGCACAGCTTTCACCTGCAGGCCTCAACACCCGTCGGGGATTCTTCTTGAATATCGTTTCATGTTCGTCCACCAAGGCGCTGCTGCAGCTCCCCACGATGGCATCCTGGAGAGGAAAGGTCCCTTCAGAGCAGCGCAGGGCTGGGGGTCCCACAGGGTTCCCAGCCCTGTGCCCCTGGACAGGGCTGAGCCTGCCGGAGCAGCGGCACGCACCCGTCTGTCAGAGAAGGTGTTTTTGGAGCGAAGAGGGAGGGTCAGGCTGGTGGCAGCAGGTCCTGCTGGCATAGCTACCTGTTTTCCAACTCTGAGAGGGGCAGCTCTCTCCAGGGAGTTCCTCCTGCAGAGGACACAGAAAGGTCTGTCCCAGGCCAAGAGCATAGCTGGGAGAACAAGCGCTGGCTGGGAAGCACCATCTCCCCACAAGCTCCCCAGAGCACCCCAGCCTGGGGAGCAGAGGACCTGCCTGCCCAGGGACAGGTTTCAGCCCAAGCAGAGGAGGCAGCTCCACCTCACTAGACCAAGAAAAACACACTTGAGATGAAGGTGCTCATTCTCTGCCAGGCCAGCCTTGCCAAGGACAATCCGCCCAGGGAGCCCCTCACCTGCCCCCCACACCACCAGGACTAGGTCTGTAGCCGTCCAGGCTCATGTTTTCCATGGACTCTGTGTCGCTTTTGCCATCCCGAGGATCTGAGGCATCCAGAAACAAACTGCAGACAAACAAAACCACAGGTATGTCCTGTTTGGCGAGGAGGCTGGTCTGAGAGAGAGCTTCTGCACCCAATGATCTGAGCAGGGCAGCAGTGTCCCTCCCATCCCTGCAGCAGGCGAGGGCTGGCACTCTGAGCAGGAGGGATCCTCACCTGGGCCCCTCCCGGGGTGCCGGGGGGCTCTGCTGCCGGGCTGCGGAGGGGTTTTTGGGCTCTCCAAGCTGGGCTTTCTGGAGGAGGGTTTGTCCCACAGTCTCCCTTTTGCTGGCTGGAAGGAGAGAGGCATCAGGAGCACCACTGCTCCAAGCCCACTGCCTGGAACAGCAGCTGCTCCCAGCCAACTCTGCACTGGGCAGAGGCACAGCAGGGAAAGCTGGAGCATCCCAGAGGACCAGGCTGCAGGAAGAGGCATTGCTGTGGCACCCCTACCTGCCGACTTGTGCCGCAGGGACAGCCGCACCATGTCGCTGCCCAGACGGTTGGCGAAGCGGTTGACTCTCTGGTCATAGAACCAGTCACCCGTCGTCTTCTTCAGCTCACTGCAGGGCAGGGAGGCGGCGGGGGGGCAGTCAGGGGCAGGGGGGGACAGGGGGACTGTTCCCTGCACCCCAACGACACCCTTTGGTGCTGCCACCAGCCAAGGAGAGCACGGGCACAGCGGGCATTTTCAGCAGGTGGCTGCACCGTGATGATGCACTGGGCAGACAACAGGCCCAGCTACACCCCCAGCAAACACGGGGACAAGATGGGTTTCGCATGACAGGGGAGGCCAAGAGGGAGGAAACCTGTGGTGCTTGAAACACAGGCTGCATGAGGGGCAAGGGGGGATGCCAGAGTCAAGTAAGAGTAGGGGAAAGGAGCAAGATGGGCACGAAGAAGACCCAAGAGTACAGCATGACCCAGTTGTCCGTCACCCAACCATGGATGCCCACCCTGGGAAGTGAGCAGAGACTGCTGCCCTATGATGGAGAAGCCCAGCTGGGCTAGGAAAGGGTAGCCATAGGGCATCAAGCTGGGGTGACTGGGACGAGGAAGGGGACAGGAGGAGCATGCAGAAGGTCCCTGGCACCCGTCTAGGGGTACTCACGCCTCCTTGGTGCAGACTTTGCAGCGCCAGGAGCTGTTGGGGCCATAGGAACGACAGTCCCGACACACCAAGTGGTTGCAGCCCCGGCAGGTGTTGGCCTTGGGGCCGACGCGGCCCAGGCTCTGCTGGCAGCGGGCGCAGGTCCGCTCGCTGTAGCGCTGGCTGCCCCGCTTGGCCCCCTTGCGCCGGATCTCCAGCAGCTCGTTCTTCAGGCGCCTGCTCGGACCCCAACACCGGGAACCGTCAGAGCCCACGGCGGGACCC